GACACAACGTAATGAATGCGATTCGAGCCCGGCACATGCGCAAATATCGAAGACAGCGAGGGTTAAGGCGCTCGAGAAGGAGAGGCGATGCGCTCATTGTGAGGGTCCGGCCGCCTCGCGACCGGGGTGGAGAATAGAAGAGATCCTGAGACCTCTTTCTAGTTGATTTTAAATAAGTGGTCTGTAGACACAAAAGTACTGTGTTTTTAGGCTTTCTTGTCTTTGTTTGGTGGAGATCATACTCTATCCTACTGGAGTTTTTTTTTTTTTTTTTTTTTTTGAATTATCAATTAGCCCTATTTGATCACACAACAAAGTAGAACGAGATTGCATCTTCTCCTCTGCCTTTTATCTCTATTGTGACTCTCATCCATCTTGTATCTCTCTTTCTCTCTTCTACTTATAGCCAAACTTTCTCAAGCTCATAAACGAATGCGTGATCTCTAATATCCCATAGATGTGGTCAAGAAGCGATCTTGAAAACACAGAGACTGATAGCAATCCTAAGAGGAGATTGCTTGGATGCATGAATTATATGATAGAAACTTCTTTTTGGTATTTTTGTTTGACTTGGTAAGTTTTTGAAGCTTTTAGGGTCTTCTTATTTATCTTACTTACAAGGACCTAGTTTTTAAAATATTTTACAATGGGATTAAATTTTTATCGATAAAGCAGGAGAGAGTTACATGCACTTGGCACCTTGTAAATTTTACAAAAATAAAGGAAAACGCCATAATTGTAATTTTTTTTAATAAACCATGTAAATTTGGTTTTGATTACAATTTTCAATTATGTGTTGAAGGTCCTATTAATTTTTATTTTTCAAATAATGAAATCCATTTATAATGATAATTTGGTCTAATAATAGGATATTAATTTTTAACTTTGACGAAATAGATACAAGCAAAATTTTATTTTTAAATTAAGATATAATAGGTATAAATCAAATTGTAAATGTGTAAAAAGATTTGGATTTTTTACTAATAGACCTTTTTTTTTTAGAAAAATAAAAATAGAATTTCATTAATTGGAAACAGATATGAGATATAGATGAATATATGTCTATATTTTCTATAAGAAGTCAATAATAAACCATTTACATAAAGAATAAAAAAAATATAAGTATCTGATCGAATTGATAGAGTACAATATTTGTGCCATGGGCGATTGCTTGCTCCACTTTATAGCTATCCATAGCCACTGTTCGACTCTATAGTCTTCCTATCCGATATGAATACCTTTAAATTTCTTCCTTTTATTGGAGAGGAGACCTGTATTTCTTTCTAGATAATAAAAGACGTTAGACAAAATCATCATAATGGTGGTAATAATTACTTAGAATTAGATATGAGAACAAAATATCAATATATAGATAACAATAAATCTTAATATATGAGCGACAATAACTTAAATCTGTCAAAAAAAAAAAAAGATGACCCCGGTGAGAGCTTATCAATGGCCGTTCGTGGAGGAAAAAAAAAACAAAGAGGTTGTAAGTTTCCAGAGAAAAAGGGGGAGAGGGCGGCAGGTTGTGTCCAATTTCAAGCCGTCCCACTAATAGACCTATGAAATGCTTAGCTTGAGTTATAAATAAGGAAAAGATTTATTGGTTTTCTAATTTAATTTAATCACAACAATTTAGGACCCGCTCCTTGAAATGTCGTAACAGGAAATATTGTATTCTGGGTACAAACTGTAACTTCTCTAGAAGTACATAAGAATCATCAAAGACTACCAAAACAATAGAATTACGATTGATTTATCCGTTTCTGAATCTAGAAAATATATTGCAAATCCTTTTAGCAATAATTTAGCTATGGGATAATTTGTTCCTATAATTTAGGTTTTTCAAAAAAATCATCACGCAGTAAATCAACAAAGCCCAAAATGATGTCTTTTTCCCCCTTCGTGTTTACTTACTACGGTACCAGAGTAAATATGATCTCCACCAGACAAACGTAACGCCTTAGCCAGTACACGAAAATGCATACCATGATTCTGTGTGGCTGATCATCCTCTCGGACCAGCTGCTAATCATCGCATTGGTAAGCTATTGCCTCACCAGGAGAGATTGCTACTGCACCTGGCCTATCCGATCTTAGAGAGAGAAGAGCATTCAAAATATTTTTAGCAATGTATTTTGACTCGTATTTAAATAAAAAATAAAAGTTGATTGACTCCGATGGGTGAGATGAGATGACAGAATTCCCTACTCTTTTAACCAGAGATTTTGAGTTCAAACCATCATTTATAGGTCTGTCCAGCACGAATCCGGATAAAGTAAGCATCGGACTTTCCTAGATGATTAAAACTAAAAAAAAAAAAAGAAAAAAGAAAAGTTGATTGCTATAATTTGTTTTTATAATTTTGGGTTTATAAATAATCAGGGTCTATAAAGACATGGCGGAGAGATAATGATAATAATATAAATGATCAGGATTTACGAAGGTGTGAGGGAGAGAAGAAGAAAATAAAATGGCGTAAACTATAATATATCATTTCATAAAACGTGTATTTTTTTTTTTTTTTTTTTTAAACAGTCCATGGTAGCGCTGCACCAATGGAAGCTTTTGAAGATGGTTTTCTTAAAAAGGTTTCCTCAATTGATAGATTCATTTTTTCCTGGAAAAAAAAAAAAAAAAAAACCAACAAGTCCCAAAGTCTTTGGCCAAAGAAAGTTCTTCCTCATCAGCTTCTGTCTCTTCTCTTCTGGTACAATGTTTTTGTCTAACAGTTCACAATTTTTTATATTAATTATGTCTATTGTTGATGTATGATTTATTTCATTCTTTATACTATTATTATTATTATTATTATTATTATTATTATTATTATAATAATAATATTTGGGCAATGTAAAGAGTTCCTAATGAACTCTATATTATTGCAAATGTAATAATTTAGGGGGTTTGGGTTATCAATGGGGCTAATGGTTAGATTGTATTCTAGATTCATGGGTTATAATTCTTTTATGAGATGTATGCATGTGTTAATATTTTAAGCCTGATAATAATGTGCTTCTTGAACAGCAATGCCTCCGTGGGAACATCAAGATCCAATCTCCTCCCTCTTTTTATTTATGGTTTTGGTTTTATGCTTTGTTATTTTGGTGATTGATTATAATGCTTATGAATATCATGTTTTATAAAAATGCATTGAAATATTTTTAGCATCTCAATTAAAGTCAATTTTATTACTTCGTTGTGAATAACGGGAAAAACTATGGAGGCCGATCCTATTAATTGGGTGATCAAAGTGTTTAACACCTTCTCGAGATTGTACCCAACTTCTTAACTAGACTCTGGTTAAAACCGAGTTGATCATTTTCAAAGAAGTGATCGGCACGATATTTTTTCTCTAAAAGAGGGTGGTGACTCCCAAAAATTACTCCTTCCAATGTAAAAACATATTCTTAAAAAAATTCCTTTTCCAAAATTCACCTCTCTGAAAGTGAAACGGGTTTAATAAAAAGAAAACCACTTTTATAAATTTTTTAAAAAAAAATCTAAGCCCTTACATATCAAAAATCATGTTTAAGATCCATGAGAACTCACAAATCCCAAATGAGCCTTAAAGCCACATAACATCCTACATAGGCGCAAATCCAACATGAGACCTATGAGAATTCACAAATCTCAAATGAGCCATAAAGTCACATAACAACCTACTGTGAACCCCTACCCCGAATATCATAGGCATGTGAATGCATGTGACTAAGGGCAGAAATGCACGTGGATGTATGAGTCGCCACCTTGTTTAATTATAACGAGACGAAAACCTGGTTTAGGGTTTGGATTCCTTACAAAAAAGGTCATTGCTTACAGGGTTAGCTTATAAACGCTGGTAAACTGGATTAGCCAGTTCGCGTCAGCGCTGTTGTTAGCTAACAACGACTCTTTACCTTTATTTACCATTGGAATTCATTTCACTACTCCTTGCCTGTGGCTGACTTCTACAGTACAACGCGGGACTTCTATATTCTATATACTTGTGTGATCTCGCACTTCCTTAACTTTCTCATCTGACCGACCTTCGACTTTCTAAATAGAACCGGGGAACTCGCTATAAGCCAAGACCACATTTGAAATTGACTTTACAATTGGACTGCTGTACATATTTAATTTTACATATTAAGCCCACAATAGAAAATTAAATCCAACATTCTAATCCTGGTTTCACTAGTGGGAGTGGTTTGATTCGAGATTTTATGAAAAGTTGGGTAGATGGTTTTTTCATTAAAAATATTGGCCACTCCTCGATATTGGTTGGTGAATGGTCTTCTATTAGAACTGGTTTGATTATGGCATGAGACCGTGGTTTTAGGAAGGTTGTGGTGGAAAAGGATTGTTTAAACGTTGTTTGGTTAGTTTCTGCGGATTTAAGATCTGCTTATCTTTTAGCGGTTCTTGTTTTGTTATATTAAAAATTTATTGGCTCAGGCTTGGGATTGTTTTCTCCATCATGCTTTTCATCAAGCTAATTATGCGGCTAATCATTTGATTAGATTGAGTCATTTTATTCCATCCTTTTTGTTTATTTGGGATGCTTATCCTGTGTCTTTATCTTTAATCCTTTGTACGGATGTTTGTGGCATCAGTTCCCTGAGATAATTTTTTTTGCTTCTCCCTTTTTTTACTTAAAAAAAATAAAGGTAATATTTTAATTCCAATAAAAATTGTCGAACAGAAATGGAATAAGAGCACAAACTCGATTCAATCTAGTAATTTAAAACTCGAGAAAAAAAAGAAAATACACATTAATAGGGCTACGGAAAGCTTAATTTTTTAATATGGGCTAGGCCCATTATTATTTCAGAACCTCATAGATGAGCCTTACTTTTATAATAAAGAAAAAAGAGGCTCAGGCCCAGTGTATCACGTCAATAAAGTAAGCGGTGGTTGTAACGGCCATTTTAACTACCGCATGGTAACAAAGTCAATTCTTACAAAAGAAAAGTAAAAATATTTGAAAAGCAACCAATAATAAAAAATGACCTGTTCTTTACTTCTTTACGGCCTGGTCATTGGTCACAATTCATAGTCTATTCTATAGTTCGTTTTCCGATACCTAACCTAACGACTAAAGTCTCCCTCCTTGACCTCACTGTTGCTTCCCCGAACCTGCAGCTTATTCCTATCTCCGGCGACTATCATCCTCCCCGGTAAATCTTCTTGTCCGTATAATTTCTGTTGTGAATTTCCGCGGAGAAAGCATCAGATATTGTTATCTTCGAAATTTGGATACTTAACTGCGAAATTTTATTGTAATTATTAAGCTAGGTCATGGTTTTTTTTTGTGTTAATTGGATTTTTTTGAACAGGAATTTATTAGAGGAGATGTGTCATCAGAATTGTTGCGTGCATTTATCTGTAGAAGAAGCAATTGCAGCTGATGAAAGTCTCTTAATTTATTGCAAGCCTGTTGAACTTTATAATATTCTTCATCGCCGTGCTCAATACAATGTAATGTCTGTTCTCCTTTCTTTAAATATGCGTTTATATTGAGTGTTTTTTTTTTTTTTTGGCTAATATATAGTTGATCAGTGATGTTAGTTGAATTGTGGCTTCTTTGCATCGGTTTGTATTTGTATATAGGTTCTGATTTAATTTTTTTGTTTTAGCCTTCGTTTCTTCGAAGATGTTTGCGTTATAAAATGAAGGCTAGGCGTAAAAGGAGGTATGAGCTTCTCGACTTAAATGCCTTTTGCTTTCTAATATCATTTTATTTATGTAAATTGTTTTTGTTTTTACTTCTCATTTAATTTTATTGCCATTTGAGGTCATTAGTGATTACTATGTGGTTGAAAGTAAGGACCAAGGATCAAGCTTAATATGTGCGAGTTAATTGTTTTCCTTTTGTTAAGTATGGATTTGAAAGATTTATTTACCCATCAAATTTAGAGTGTGGGCGCGCGTCGGGTCTGCCACTCCGTTGAAAGCTATGAAACAAGTCCGTGGCAGTTCAAAACTGGAATTGGACTCGACCCAATGCTTTATTTCTGTCCTAGTTGATCCTTATTCGACATTAAAAGTATATTGATTTTTCCCCAATAACCGAATACTTTTGTCTGTAAATACTGCATATTTGATTCCATCCATAAATCTATTTTCTTTCTTCCTATGACGTTCTAGTCTCACACATTAAGGAATTGCTAAACGTTCTACTGTTCAGTATGTTATGATATGAATAGTACCACACCAAAATTACGATTACGTCATGGATGATGAGATTCATTGAATACAGAGCCAATTCCCAATAGACTTTATGGGAGGGTCCCACTTGGCCGTGCATCCAGTAGGAATGAACCGTACGAACTTCGCCAATTATGAGTTCTGGCGCTTCTAACCATTCAGCCCAATGGATGCTTAGCGGAGGATCCCTCGTAACATGGTGAATACACCAAATTCCCAATTGAATCGAAAATCTCTTAGGCAAATCAATGCAATTTAGGAGGAATCCAATGAAAGGACATCAAATTCAAATCCTGGATTATCGAGATTGAAGAGAGATATTGAGAGAGAATCAAGAAGTTCATCAACTATTTCTTGAGATGTCATGGACCCAATCAAATTCATGGGATCTTCATTCACATTTTTTCCATCAAGGAACGTTTTTATAAAACTCTGGAACTCGCCGAATTTTGGATAATCTTACTTTCAACGAATTCAACAGGGTCAACAAGCATCGTATATTTCACGAGTCAAGGGTGTATGTACTATTTTAGTAGTGGTTCTTATATATCGTACTAAACAACGAAAGATGGTCGAAAGAAAAAATCTTCACGTATTTGAACAGGGCTTCTTACCTATACCTATGAATTCCCCATTGGACCCAGAAATGATACATTGGAAAGAATCGCTTTGGGGTCTTCCAATATCAATAGGTTGATTGTTTCGCTCCTATCTTCCAAAAGGAAAAAAGATCTTCTGAGAGCTCTTCCTGGATCCGAAAGAGAGTACTTGGTTCTCCCATAATAAAAAGTCTGAAAGTACTAACTGGGTTCGCGTGGTGGAGGAACTGGATCGGAAAAAAGAGGGATTGCTAGTTGTAAGATTATCTAATCGAACACCGCGCTGGAATTGCGTCGCTGGAATTGAGATCTCATTCAAAGAGAAAGATATCAAATATCTGGAGTTTCTTTTTGTATATTATATGGATGATTCGATCCGCAAGGACCATGATTGGGAATTGTTTGATCGTCTTTCTCCGAGTAAGAGGCGAAACATAATCAACTTGAACTCGGGACAGCTATTCGAAATCTTAGTGAAAGACTGGATTTGTTATCTCATGTTTGCTTTTCGTGAAAAAATACCAATTGAAGTGGAGGGTTTCTTCAAACAACAAGGAGCTGGGTCAACTATTCAATCAAATGATATTGAGCATGTTTCCCATCTCTTCTCGAGAGGCAAGTGGGCTATTTCTTTGCAAAATTGTGCTCAATTTCATATGTGGCAATTCCGCCAAGATCTCTTCGTTAGTTGGGGGAAGAATCCACACGAATCGGATTTTTTGAGGAACATATCGAGAGAGAATTGGATTTGGTTAGACAATGTATGGTTGGTAAACAGGGATCGATTTTTTAGCAAGGTACGGAATGTATCGTCAAATATTCAATATGATTCCACAAGATCTAGTTTCGTTCAAGTAACGGATTCTCGCCAATTGAAAGGATCTTCTGATCAATCCAGAGATCGTTTCGATTCCATTAGTAATGAGGATTCGGAATATCACACATTGATCAATCAAAGAGAGATTCAACAACTAAAAGAAAGATCGATTCTTTGGGATCCTTCCTTTCTTCAAACGGAACGAACGGAGATAGAATCAGACCGATTCCCTAAGTGCCTTTCTGGATATTCCTCAATGTCCCGGCTATTCACGGAACGTGAGAAGCGGATGAATAATCATCTGCTTCCGGAAGAAATCGAAGAATTTCTTGGGAATCCTACAAGATCCATTCGTTCTTTTTTCTCTGATAGATGGTCAGAACTTCATCTGGGTTCGAACCCTACTGAGAGGTCCACTAGAGATCAGAAATTGTTGAAGAAAGAACAAGATGTTTCTTTTGTCCCTTCCAGGCGATCGGAAAATAAAGAAATAGTTAATATATTCAAGATAATTACGTATTTACAAAATACCGTCTCAATTCATCCTATTTCATCAGATCCGGGATGTGATATGGTTCCGAAGGATGAACTGGGCAGTTCCAATAAGATTTCATTCTTGAACAAAAATCCATTTTTTGATTTATTTCATCTATTCCATGACCAGAACAGGAGGGGATACACGTTACACCACGATTTTGAACAAAAATTCCATCTTTTTGATTATTCAATCTATTCCATGATCGAACGGGGGGGGGAAATAACACGTTACATGCCAACGATTTGAATCAAAAAGAGAGATTTGCAAGATAATGGAATCTATTCAACTCTATCAATAACCTGAGCCGGATACTGGTGTATCATAAGGGATTTACTTTTTTATTGATTCCTTACGGATTGGAAAAAAAAAATCAAAAACCTTCTTGAATGAGGTATTCAACTCCAGGATGAATCGAAAAAAGAAATCTTTATGGTTCTACACCTCCTAACTTTTTTATGAAGAGAACTGAACTTTTTAATCGAAGGAGTCAGAAAAAAATGGGTCCGGAATCTCCCTGCGGGAATGAATTTGTAAGATCCAAAAACGAAAAAATAGTGGTATTTTGCCTAGCAACAACAATACATGGAGGCAGTCAATCAATATGGATTGATCCTAAATCTTGATTCAAATCCCAATATTGTACCATGGGAGTACATCAGAAATGTATGACTCAATTCTTTTTAATGAATAGATTCCGATCGCAACTTTCGAATATGGAATTCAAAGGGATCAATAGGAAATGAAATAACTCTGAATCATAGAACTATAATGAAGCATATCACGATCAACCAACATTTATCGAATTTGAACAGAAGTCGTCAGAAGAACTGGTTCGATCCTCTTATTTTTCTTTCTCGAACCGAGAGATCCATAATTGGGATCCTAATGCATATAGATACAAATGGTCTAATGGAAGCAAAAATTTCCAGGAATATTTGGAACATTTTATTTCTAAGCAAAAGAGCCGTTTTCTTTTTCAAGTAGTTTTCGATCGATTACGTATTAATCAATATTCAATTGATTGGTCTGAGGTTATTGACAAAAAAGATTTGTCTAAGTCACTTCGTTTCTTTTTGTCCAAGTTACTTGTTTTTTTGTCCAAGTTTCTTCTCTTTTTGTCTAACTCACTTCCTCTTCGTTTCTTTTTGTCCAATCGTTAAGCTCTGTTTTCTTTTGTGCCAAGTTTCTTCTCTTTGTCTAACTCACATTCCTTTTTTCTTTGTGAAGTTTCGGGAATACCCCATTCATAAGTCGAAATCCATATCTATGAAATTGACTTTTTTCTTTGTGAGTTTCGGGAATATCCCCATTCATAGGTCTGAGATCCACATCTATGAATTGAAAGGTCCGAATGATCAACTTTGCAATCAGTTGTTAGAATCAATAGGTCTTCAAATCGTTCATTTGAAAAAATTGAAACCTTTCTTATTGGATGATCATAATACTTCTCAAAAACCGAAATTCTTGATCAATGGAGGAACAATATCACCATTTTTGGTCAATAAGATACCAAAGTGGATGATTGACTCATTCCATACTAGAAATAATCGCAGGAAATCTTTTGATAACATGGATTTCTCAATGATATCCCACGATCAAGACAATTGGCTGAATCCCGTGAAACCATTTCATAGAAGTTCATTGATATCTTCTTTTTATAAAGCAAATCGACTTCGATTCTTGAATAATCCTACATCATTCTGCTTTCTATGTACAAAAACAAAAGTCCCTTTTATGTGGAAAAATGGCCGTATGCCAAGAATTATGAAATTTTACGTATGGACCCCTTTTTATGTGGAAAAGGCCCGTATCAAGAATTATGATTTTACGTATGGACAATTCCTCAATATCTTGTTCATTCGCAACAAAATATTTTCTTTGTGCGGTGGTAAAAAAAAACATGCTTTTTTGGGGAGAGATACTATTTCACCTTCACCAATCGAGTCGCAGGTATCTAACATATTCATATCTAATGATTTTCCACAAAGTGGTGACGAAAGGTATAACTTGTACAAATCTTTCCAGTTTGCAATTCGATCCGATCCATTAGTTCGTAGAGCTATTTACTCGATTGCAGACATTTCTGGAACACCTCTAACAGAGGGACAAATAGTCAATTTTGAAAGAACTTATTGTCAACCTCTTTCAGATATGAATCCATCTGATTCAGAAGAGAAGAACTTGCATCAGTATCTCAATTTCAATTCAAACATGGGTTTGATTCACACTCCATGTTCTGAGAAATATTTACCATCCGAAAAGCGGAAAAAACGGAGTCTTTGTCTAAAGAAATGCGTTGAGAAAGGGTGGATGTATAGAACCTTTCAACGAGATAGTGCTTTTTCAACTCTCTCAAAACGGAATCTATTCCAAACATATATGCCATGGTTCCTTACTTCGACAGGGTACAAATATCTAAATTTGATATTTTTAGATACTTTTTCAGACCTATTGCCGATACTAAGTAGCAGTCAAAAATTTGTATCCATTTTTCATGATATTATGCATGGATCAGATATATCATGGCGAATTCTTCAGAAAAAATTGTGTCTTCCACAATGGAATCTGATAAGTGAGATTTCGAGTAAGTGTTTACATAATTTTCTTCTGTCCGAAGAAATGATTCATCGAAATAATGAGTCACCATTGATATCGACACATCTGAGATCGCCAAATGTTCAGGAGTTCCTCTATTCAATCCTTTTCCTTCTTCTTGTTGCTGGATATCTCGTTCGTACACATCTTCTCTTTGTTTCCCGAGCCTATAGATTCGTGGTGGCCCCAGTGGGAGTCTGGCTGAGTACGCTGTTGAGGCTTCGCTAACGAAGATCGATGTGAATGGGCAGAGCACAAGGCGAGAGTCGTGGTGCGAATCGGGCAGTGGTCTTTGGATTACCAGTGGCTGGGTCTATTCGGCTTATGATGACGGGTCGGATGGCATTGGGGGCTCCAGTCGTATACACAGTCTCGTCTTTGTTTCCCGTAAGCGGCGCTAAGTAGTGAGTTACGACAGAAGTTCGCAACACGAGGTCAGATCTTGATGATCTCCCATCATACATTGATTGATTGAGAAAAACTTCTGGATAGTATCCCTATCTCTGAACTGAATTCTTTCTGGTTAGAAGAGAATCTCTTCAGTAGTTGCCTTCTGGAACAATTAGCCGAAGAATTTTGCTAGAAGGAATTAATGTCGGGGTTTTTGCTTCTGGCGGCAAGCATGCTATGGGGGTGGATGGTCCCGCTTATGGGGGTTAAATCAATACGTTTCTAGAGATATAAATTTTTGAATATCAATTTTCTCATCATTCATGTAAGTATCCCACTACCAAATCATCAAATCGACAATCACTTTTTCGAGAAAATTACGAGACAATCTAAGTCATAACAAGTAAAGAGATTTAATTCATGTGATAAGAAAAAGAAAAAACGGTGAATTGGTGATTGGATTGATGATAAATTAGAATCCTTGGCTCGCGAACATGTGATTCGCATTGAATGATATAACGAAGAGAATTCTTGTTTACATGTGTTCCACCTTAACCGAAGAAAACAACGGATCTGATCAAAATTCTATTGAGTGCTGACGCGCATGAGTGATCAGTTAGTCAAAGAATGACTCCTGGTTTGATCAATATGAATTGAAAGAGCGGAGGCAATTTACTTTACGATACTAGTTGAGGACATTCATAAAAAGTATCGTATCAATGAATTAGTGGAGTTCAATATCACCCTGTTTAGCAGAAAGGACGGAATGATATTCGCTTGCTTATTGAGTGCTCAGACCCAAGCCACTTATTCGCACAAGCTCGCGTGCTCGAGGGTGAATAAGATTAGGTTAGTTAGTCATTATCCATCTCAGTGGAAAAACGCATGTTGTCGCTCACGCTTAGCCTATCGCCGCTCTAGTGGGTATTCTTAGTCGATAGGTTTCTATTAGGAACTGGACGATCCTATTTGTGTGCACATACGCTAGCGACAAACTCCGGTTCTATAGGAACCGGACGATCCTATTTGTTCAAATACCTAGCGACAAACTCCTATGTTCCTTTCATTACAGTATTTCTGAACAAGTTCCTGGATAACAAGCTTAAAGGTTTTCTTATTGATGATATCGATATTGATGATAGTGACGATATTGATGCTAGTGACGATATTGATGCTAGTGACGCTATTGATGATAGTGACGCTATTGATCGTGACCTTGATACGGAGCTGGAGCTTCTAACTATGATGAATGCGTTAACTATGGATATGATGTCGGAAATAGACCGATTTTATATCACCCTTCAATTCGAATTAGCAAAAGCAATGTCTCCTTGCATAATATGGATTCCAAACATTCATGATCTGGATGTGAATGAGGCGAATTACTTATCCCTCGGTCTATTAGTGAACTATCTCTCCAAGGATTGTGAAAGATGTTCCACTAGAAATATTCTTGTTATTGCTTCGACTCATATTCCCCAAAAAGTGGATCCCACTCTAATAGCCCCGAATAAATTAAATACATGTATTAAGATACGAAGGCTTCTTATTCCACAACAACGAAAGCACTTTTTCACTCTTTCATATACTAGGGGATTTCACTTGGAAAAGAAAATGTTCCATACTAATGGATTCGGGTCCATAACCGTGGGTTCCAATGCACGAGATCTTGTAGCACTTACCAATGAGGCCCTATCGATTAGTATTACACAGAAGAAATCAATTATAGACACTAATACAATTAGATCTGCTCTTCATAGACAAACTTGAGATCCGCTCTTCATAGACAAACTTGGGCTCTTCATAGACAAACTTGGGATTTGCGATCCCAGGTAAGATCGGTTCAGGATCATGGGATCCTTTTCTATCAGATAGGAAGGGCTGTTGTACAAAATGTACTTCTAAGTAATTGCCCCTTAGATCCTATATCTATCTATATGAAGAAGAAATCATGTAACGAAGGGGATTCTTATTTGTACAAATGGTACTTCGAGCTTGGAACGAGCATGAAGAAATTAACGATACTTCTTTATCTTTTGAGTTGTTCTGCCGGATCGGTCGCTCAAGACCTTTGGTCTCTACCCGGACCCGATGAAAAAAATGGGATCACTTCTTATGGGTTCGTTGAGAATGATTCTGATCTAGTTCATGGCCTATTAGAAGTAGAAGGCGCTCTGGTGGGATCCTCACGGACAGAAAAAGATTGCGGTCAGTTTGATAATGATCGAGTGACATTGCTTCTTCGGTCCGAGCCGGGGAATCCCTTATATATGATGCAAAATGGATCTTGTTCTATCGTTGATCAGAGAAATCTCTATGAAAAATACGAATCGGAGTTTGAAGAAGGGGAAGGAGAAGGAGTACTCGACCCGCAACAGATAGAGGAGGATTTATTCAATCACATAGTTTGGGCTCCTAGGATATGGCGCCCTTGGGGCTTTCTATTTGATTGTTAATAAAATGAAAATTGTTAATGATGAAAGTTTTATACTAATTAAATTTTTGGTCATGAATCTTCTTTTTGATTTTGAATTTATTCAAATTTTCAAAAAAAAAAAAAAAAATGCAAAACTATGGTAAATATTTTATTTAATTATTTCTTACAAATAAATTAAAATTACAACGGGCATCATTATTAATAAATAATAAAAAACTATAAAAATAAAAAAGAATTGGTGTGAGAGAACGTTTGAACTCTCAACTTCAAGATCACTCAACATCACATTGGCCAACTGCGCCACCACCCCATAATGTTTGCTGTCTCGGTTTCTCCTTTTATCTATAAGAAATGTGCTAGCCAACTACGAACCAATCCCAACCGAATTTCGAACTGACAGGAAAAACCGGCAATTCCAATTGGTTCAGGCTAGTTCTTGGAACCGCCGATTCACGGTTCTGAAAATGATGGAACCGAAACCAATCCGTAGGCCACAGTTCCAGTTTTTGGTTCGAACTGGTTCCAAACCGACTGTTCCAATTCCAAAAACCATATTGTGGCCATGTCTAATGCATGCATTTATAAAGGATAATCATAATCTCATTCATTGGGCTCGGGTAAAATATTCAACTTATAATTTCAACCATAGATTCAAATTTATCAAAATAGAATTAATGAAAATTGGATTCATGTAATAGGAGACATTCCTTAGCCTGAAAGATATGTGGCCATGAAATAGGGATTAAATGGAACCGAATTGACTGGGTGGTAGAATCGTGAAATCATCTGTTTCTTCCATATTTTGGACAAACCTCTCTTTTTCTTTTCTATTGCAATTTCTGGATTATTATATGATGATTCAATAATTACATATCCGAATTTACCTATGGATGAATATGCAAGCATACATTTCATGCTTGTCTTGACAACCAGAACTATTTACTTACACTACTCAAAAAAATATTACTCACTACATCAAAAAATTTCCATTAATGAAAGATGTAAATCCATTGGAAAATCAAAAATACGCATGTCGGATGAAATGGTTGTTGCTATCTGCTCCAATAACGAATCATTGGTTTAACTGAATAACTAAATAAAATAGATAGACCTTTCTCTTCGTCTCAGGTCGATGGATCTTCTCAACTGGAGGATCCCCTATATGGATAATATATGGATAATACACATTCCAGTTGACCGAGCCTAATTCTATTCTAATTGTTTTGTTCCGAAGCAAAGATATCCACGGGGCGGTTCGCCCTATTCAGATATTCACGACCGAGAAGTACTGGATTCTCTTTCGGATAGGTCCTGAAAGGAGAAGGAAAGCTGGAATGCCACCAGGCGTCTATTATTGAATTCACCCGACCCGATAGTACCCATTTTTGGAACGTCCAGTGCCAAAGTCACGGAATGGGTAAGTCGCCAATCCCTAAAACGGACTATGTAATGTACTTTATCCGCTGGGTTACGGGGGGGGCATTTTACCAGAGGTTTATATTGTATCAATCTACCCTTGTGTGCGTGATTCCTGTTGAAGCATATACTCGGGGGTGGGTGCAGGGCGAACGATTTCAAAGCGGACTCCCCATTCATTAGATAGAGAAGATCCCCAAGATCTCGTGATCCGCTGCCGAACTTATTCCAATTCAATGAGCATTCTCAATATTATGCCTTGAAGAGGACTCGAACCTCTCTCGGATTCAAAATATATCGGATTCGATCGCAGAGATCTCTTATCGAATTGCTCAATTCAGTGAGCATTTTCTCAATAGTTTATTGTATGCCTTGAAAGAGACTCAGAACCTAAACGCACCTCACTTTGCACGAGATTTTGAGATCCGCGTGTCTAACCATATTCACCCACAAAGAAAGCATCTTTGAAAGCTGAATCGTATTCCATTGAATTATGATTATCTATCTAGTGTGATGTATGGAAATATGACAAAGTGGCGAGCTTGTTGGAGTATTCTATTGACTCGGTCATCGTCATATAGGCCTGAGTCGGAAGCATACCAATTGCTTACGATCTCTGAATTCATCCGCGAAGATGCCTATAATCATTATATCAAATCTATAACTTATCTCAAAAATGCAGCAAGACAATCCACACACCCATCTCTCAGATTCCAATAACGAACCCAAAAGCAGGTGACATAGAAGGGTCACAAATAAGTGAGAGATATATATGTACAAAAACGGAGTCCGATACTGCCTACTTCCTAAATCCTAAATGGAATGTAAAGCAAAAAGGAGAGACACTCCAATATGTAAACATAGTCATCCTATTCTAGATACGCCTCGCTATTTAGATACGCTCGAATGACCCCTTCTCATAATGAGAATGTATATAGCCCTATTCCGGTCTGGTCCGGTATGGAATGAACTTATAATCATGGAATCGACTCGATCATCAGATTATAGATTATAAGTTCATAACCCCAGCCCATTCCCATTTTGGGCGGAACAGATCTACTAATTCTTTGATTCCAGTTAGTAAAGAGGGACCTTGAACTAAGAAATAGATTCTAGAAGCTAACTAGAAGCTAAACTAAAAAAGGGTATCCTGAGCAATTGCAATAATCGGGTTCATTGATATTCCTGGTATAGTAGATGCTATCACACATACAATCATACTCAATTCGATGGAATTGTTTGATCTTAAAGGGGATCTTCTATAATTTCGCACGTGAGGGGTTATTTCTTGGTTTCGTCCAGTCATTAATAACTTGATTATTTTTA